TATGTCAGGTACATAACATAATTTACTATCTCTTCCTAAACCTAACCAATCCTTCAGCTGCTAAATGCTCTACTGTTTTCACCAGTTAGTCTCTAACTGAGTCTGTTTTTTTTTTTGCTTTTTCACTGAAATGAAAATTAGGTTGATGGGAACTGTGCTGAACCAAACATGAAGTTGTAACTGTAAAATCAAAGCTACGAGCTGTAAGATGCTAAAATGCCCCGTAGAACTTAAAGGTGATGATTATCTGTGTGTTTGTTACTACAAGCTACTATGACTATGACTACTACAACTACGACTTCTTTCACAATACAATTCACAAGGCTTTAAAGGCAAGCCAAAGCTTTCAGTTTTGGTTCTTGGGTAACTTAACCTGATTGTGCAAGATAGTTTGTTGCACAGAACCATCTGGAAGGTGTTGTTGGAATTACTTGGTAGGTGATTGGGTGAACTATCTGTCCATCACTGTCTATCAAGGGCGAACAGAGTAACGAGTCATATAACATAGTCGAACTCTTACAGAAGTCAGTCAGGAGAAGAGAGAAACCATCTTTTCGATGGAGAAAAGCCTTCAGTGCCGTTCTTTGGTCTGCTCTCTGACATAACTGAAGCAACAACCTTCTTTAGCAGGGTTTAATTTTTGAGCAGTCATGTCACACACACCTAGCATTAAACCACGCCTGTAGCTCATGCTGTAGCTGCTAGTAGTTCCTCAAAGGAAGCTGTGGTTGAACAAAAGCATGCAGCTTGAAGCCTGGTGGTTTCCTGATCTCGCAAGTCTAGCTTAGCACAGTTATTGGTCACTCACATTACCACAAATTGTAGCTCAGTATCACAAGGCAGCTGTTTAGAAAGCACAAAGTCACATGGGACACAGTCAAATGATTTCACTACAGTGCTCATTTGACTGGTTTCAAATTCCCAAGTTGTTAGGTCCCAGACCAAGTCAAAATTGAGTGAAAGTGCCTGCGAGAGGCAGAGGAGGCCGAGTCCATCAACACCTTGTCTACAGAGACCTGGTAACCTTTCAGATTCATGAATGTCATTGTCACGGATGAATGAATGAAGGTCACTGCTATATGTTATTGCTCTTCTTATTTTAGATTGCTTCTTACACATTAAAGTTTGCCACTTGGTAGACTTATGTTTATTTTTGTGGTTGTTTATGTTGTCAGCATTTGAGGCATTTTCTTTTATTCTTGTTTTTATGCCCCTTCAGAACAACTCTGAGACATATTTGCATAACTAAAAGCCTCTGTCCAACACAATGTTTTTGTCGCCGTGACTTAATTTCTCACGTCTGACACGACGACTATGCTGAAATGAGAAATGGATCTTAAATTGAAATTGTATTTTTCATTATGCCTTCATATACTCAGCACAGATGGAGAGAGGTTACAGGAGCAAATGTCACTTATTGTTTCCATTGCATTCTTTTTTCCCCTCTAACACTCTTCATTATGGCTTTATTTGTTTGAGAGATGCAATTGTTGTGTGCAAGCTCTGTTTTCTCGGCCTATGGAATGGCTGCTCTGAGGGGACTCCGCCAGCCGCTCACAATAAATGAGATGTGGCATGGCAATCTGTGGTAAGAGGCTCAGGTCATAATAAGTGCCCTCATACATAAATTACCTAGTTAATGCACAGCTAATCATCCAGCCAGACCCGCTGGCAATGTGTATGTGCAGTTACATTGCATGAAATAAGACTGACATCAGCAATCAGACTATAATGACGGAGGCCTGCATGTGTCTCCATAGGCAACTCTGTAAACTACTCGCAGGATACATGCATCCACAGAAGAGAATCACAATTGTCCTCAAAGTTTGTGGAGATTATGCAGTTACATAACAGTAGACACGCCTTGTAGTGAAACTGTGTAACTTTTAAATGCACAAAAAGTGCATCCTTTCTCATTCAATTCAATTTTATTTGTATAGCACCATACATAGCAAAGAAAGGTCCTGTGGTTGTATGCATCCGCCATCCAGTTAAGTAGCAGTTTATATCCATGTCGGTCTGGACTCTGGTCAGTACTTTGTTTTGGCTAAATGGAAGTTATCACTATATTCATGATTGATTTCAGTGAATATTCATATTTAAACTTATTAATAAAGGGTTATCATTGATGTATTGGCTGACCAGGCACACTTTCACTTGATGACTATGTAAAGTTGGATTCTTGAGTGTAGATATACAAAATGAGCTGCTTTTGTTTCCTCCTGGCTTTTTTAGATGCAAAGCCTCTGTGATCAGTCATTTACCGGACGGCCATCAGCCAGGCACGCTCCAATACGTTTTATGCAGTGACTTGATTCTGATGAACCTCGACATTCAGACTGAGGCAGGAAGTGAAATGGATGAGATGGAAAGATGAAAGCCTGTACTGTGCTGCTTATTGTGTCGTCCCAGTCAACATGTGTGTGAAATCTGGAATCGCCCAATTCATTACAGTTAGGGTCATTAAATTAAATTAAATTGACCCTAACCCTAACCTATTTTGAGGTCACAATGACCTTTGACCTTTGAGTCAAAAGTATCACTAGTTCAGTGTCTGACCAACTATGAAATATAGTCGTTAATTCAAATATGTTTTTTGAGGTCACAGTGACCTTTGACCATTAACTACAGTTCATCCTTAAGTCCAAGTGGATGTTTGTGCAAAGTTTGAAGAAAGACATTCCTGAAATATTGCATTCACGAGAATAAAACGTACGGACGGACAGGTGGTGTTAGTGAGTCACTTCTTCATTTGCTGGCCACCTTAGAACATAAAAAAAGAAAGTACAAATGGAGGTAGTCTATTCCAACAGTAACACAATGGAAGAAAAAAGGTGGCAGTTTCATGTGGGGATTACATTTTTCTATTACTGATTCACTATCCTTACATTAGGAGGATGACTGCAACAAAGCAACCCAGATTCAAACTTTTTATAGGTCATTAAATGTTTCATTAGTGTATAATCATCGTTTTGGTTACCTTAGAATGAGTCATTTTTATCTACAGAGGATCCTCTTCTTCAGAGGCCGCAGTGTTGAACCGCCATGTTTCTACAATAGCTCTGAACAGACAAAACAAACACTGCCTACCATAGTTTCACGAGCGGTTTCAGTTGGTTTAGTGGTAAGATGCCACTAAATCCTACACACTGGTTTGTTAAAAAGGCTCTGTTTTTTGGTTGCTGAACTACCCACCATTGGCATTTGGAATGGATTTTCCACAACTAACTAATGATCAGTTTAGATTTACTGCATGTTCTGACTGAACACAGCATTATGTTTAAAAAAAAGAGCACAGAGCTCCAAAACTTCCCTACACATTTCAGGTTAACCATCACAGACTTAAATTCCCTGGCACGCACAGGCCACAGCTCCGAAAAAGACTCTTTTCTGTCAGATAACTCAGAAAATTCGAAGTGACATAAGGACTCCTCCCTCAAATATATCTCTGAAATCACTGATCACTGAAAGCATCCTGATGTCATCTATAACAGTCTGGTGCTGCAGCTCTGACACTCACACACACAAAAGATTGCAGGCAGCACACGCCACGGATTGTACACATTAAAGTGTGTTTACAGGTGTTGTGGAGTACTAGGTTACTGCATATGTGAAAAGGTCTTAGGGTCTCCAGAGGGAACTGTGTGAAGTTTGAGAAATGTCCTCAAGTGGTGTCACTTGAGTCAGCATCAGCATTAGGCCTGAAGAGGCCAAGTGTGAAAATGAAACAAGTTTGGGGGTGTGGAGTTAAAAAGAAGTTAACTTACCAGACCTCTGTACCCAGCTGCTTATATCTGCTTGAGCTACTAGCACTGAACTGTTGGCGGTCAAGTTGCATTGTGGGAAACTGCACTAGGTTTTGTCAAGGAAGAAAAATGTATGAAATAAAAAACACAATATCTGTGGTTCTGCTGCATAGATTTTGATTCTTTTTTTACTGTATGCTTTTGTTAGTGTACTATCACAGCATGCTAATAGTCAGTGTGAACACGTTTGCTTATAGCATGCCAAATATCCACTCTGATTTAATGTTTACATTTTTGTTGAGGATTACCCAGTAAAACGTCTCCCTGCATCATTGACAGCGTGTCCTCTTTTTTCCCATGTGTAAAAAATGGTAATCATTATTCAATTATTCATTCTGCTAATATAACCATCCCTGTACACATGGACGATTGTAACAGTGACTGTATTTAAATCAATTTTGCAACCTGTACATGTTTCATAAACACTCCAATGCATTGTTTCAGTAGTTGACACATTGAAATTTGTAATTTAACAAATTGGCCATTCCTGTGTAAATGTTTCTTGATTTATTGGAAAAGTGTTACAACTGTGCCTTGTCTCCCCTCGGTTACATGATAACAACTGAACCATCTCGATGACATTTGAGCAAACCCCACTCCACTGAAGACTGTGGAAAACTTCCGGTAAATGAACCCTGTCCTAAGATTTTTCTGTATGATATTGCTGGTATTTCCAAAGTCAATAATGAACCTTGTAAACATTTGCATAAAGGCTAGTGTTGTCTTTTACACACATGGATCTGTGCATAAGGGAATTCTAGTCAGGTTCAATAAATATGCAGCTCCCTGAATCCTCAAATCATGCCACATTCCCAAAGAGGAAGGTGGAGAAAGCATCTTAAAAACTATAATAGATCACACATACTATCTTAAAATACAGTACAGCCCTAAGGGTTTAACTTTTAGCATCTCCACCCTCTCGTCTTCTTTTCTTTCTGCCTCTGTGTTCGTGTCCTTTGATAAATG